ACATTATCAGACTTTTTCTTGCCCTCTATGTTATTCTGTTTAAAGAAGATCACAAAGATAGACCTTGGCATTTGACTAAAGCTAATTGGCCGAAGCATACTCAGAAGGAACTTTTGAACTTGGATGCTCTTATTTCTCATGCAGACATCCAAAAAGCTTTTTTTAAAATTTGAGCTTTAAAGGCTCCTAGTCTGAATGGCTTCCCTAATCTATTTTATCAAAGGAATTATGACACTATTAGCTGCCATACTGTTGCTGCTATCAACCATCTCTGGTCTTGCCCCTCGGATATTAGGAATATCAACAAAACTCTATTGGTGCTGATTCAAAAAGTTCATAAACTTGAAAGGGTTACTAAATTCAGACCTATTTCTCTATGCTCTGTGCTTTACAATGGCATTAGCAAAGTCATTGTTAACAAGGTTAAATCGATTCTCCAAAAGTTGGTTTCTCCTCACCAAGTCAGTTTTGTTCCTAATATAAATATTCAAGATAACATCATCAATATTGTCCAGGAGATGATTCACTCTATGAATAAAATGAGATGAAAAATGGGTTTTATGGCTGTGAAGATTGATTTGGAAAAAGCCTATGACCATATATCCTGACACTTTATCTGTAAAGTCCTTCAAGAATTTTAGCTTCCTCCAAATCTTGTCTCCATAATAATGAATTGCATTTCATCTTTTGAACTTGATCTTACTTTGTAATGGAGCTAATGCTAGCAAAATTCAAACTTCAAGAGGTTTCAGACAAGATGACCCCATATCACCTTATGCCTTTGTTTTATGCATGGAGAAGCTTTCTCACTTGCTTGCTGATACTGTGGAGAACAAGAGCTGGAAACCCATGACTGCTGGTAAGGGTGGCCCAAAAATTTCCCACATACTTTTTACAAACGATGTTATGTTGTTTGCTAAAGCTTCAGAAGCTCATATACCTAATATTACGGAGATTTTGTACCTGTTTGGTGCTACTTTTAGTCAAAAGGAAAAATAATGATAACACAAGCATTTTTTTTCTAGAAATATAGATGATTCTTTAACCAGAAAAATTGTTGAAATTTGTAGTTTTGCTCCTACCAAAAATCTTGGGAGGTATTTGGGCTCTATGTTGAAGCATAGAAGAGCGAGCAAGTATCTCTATAGTGAGGTTATAGACAGAATTTATGAGAGATTGAATCGGTGGTCTAGGCAGAATTTATCTATAGCTGAAAGATTAGTGTTAGCTAAACTTGTAATTTCTGCTATTCTTATGTTTCATATGCAAAATAACTGACATGCCTCAGGCATATATAGTTTTCTAGACTAAAAAGAGCAAGGATTTGATATTAATTGAGCAATAAATATTACTATATGTTAGAATGTTGATAATCCATGCTTAGGCACACTCTCCTGAATTAATGTGTTTTGTAGAAGAAAAGTGCAAGAAAAAGGATTAATTCACAAGAAGGAAAGCTAGCAACAGCCTCTCCGCGCGATCATGATCAACGCGAGAATGGCGCGATCCGCTCTAGGAATAATGGAAGACTTCCAAATCATTGCCTCTCCGCGTGATCCGTGCCAATAAAAAATAATAATTGTCTAACTCACTGACCCTCCGCGCGATTAGCGTGGTACTGGCGCGAATCACGCGGATGTCATGTGAAATACTTAAGTGACGTCACTTTTAATTAAAAGAGGATTCCTTCAGAGATTTTGGTGAAGATTTATTGCATTGTATAAATAGAAAAGAAACCCTATTGGGGAGTTTTTTTTTTTACAGAAGAGAAAATTCAGAAAATTAGAGAGTAACAACTAAGAGTTCTTGAAGTTCTTGCTGAGGTGGATGACTCAGACAGAAGGAAGCGTGAAGAAATAGATACACCATTAATTTTTCTTCTTCTTTCATCTTCTTGACATTCTCCTATTCTTTCTTTGTTTTATTTAAGTCAGACATGAATATGTCTGGCTAAGTTTCTTTTGTAGTTAGGGTCATGGATCTGATGTGAACCCTTTTTGATATTTGAATTATTTTTATAATTCTTTTATTTCAATTAGTTTTATTTTACCTTAATGAAAATTCTATATCCTTATTAGAATTGATCACTCTTATAGAATTTTGAGGGTTAGAGCTCACAATAGACATATTGGGGTTTTAATTCTGACTGGGGTAAAATGATAATTTGTGCATAATCTAGACATAGGCTTGTAAGAATTACAAATTTTTTAATTCATTGAACTTAATGGTTAATTTAAGAAGGATTACTAAGACATTAGGATTCTAATTGGGTTAAAAGATTAAGTTCACTAAGACATTAAAGTTTAACCAATTAATTTGAAGAAGATGAATTGTTTGAACTATTGAATTAATTAATTATAAGAATTAATTCAGAATAATAAAAGGGGGATCAAAGGTAAAGTGTATCCTAACTACAATTCTTTATTATAAACTCTTTACTCATTCCATAATTGCTTTTGCACGTTCTTGATAATTATTTTTTGGTTATATTTTAATTCAATAATAACTATTAACAACTAAATCTAATTGTCCAAATTAAAGTGACTAGTGCGAATAGTATGTGGTGCTTCAATCCTCATGGGATGATTATCTTTCTCACTACTTTATTACTTGAAACGATCGGTACATTTGCCGTAATCGCAACAACAACCTCATCCCTCTTGGTATTTGTGATGAAACAGAGAAAATCCAAAGAAGGTTTTTTTGGGGATACTCAAGAGAAAAGATTTGCTGACCTTGTCTCTTGGGGTCAAGTTTGTAAACCTAGGAGTGTTGGGGGCATAGGAATCATTAATTTAAGGAAACAAAATGAGGTTTTTTTGTTGTTGAAAATGGCCTGGTCAATCATCCAAGACCCTTCTAAGCTTTGGTCCCAGGTGCTTATTGCTAAATATGGCAAAAACGTGTAGTTGTCCAGTAGTTGCTTTAGTAAATCCTATGACTCCACATTCTGGAAATATCTTTTCAAAATCTGGCTCAAATTGCTGGAAAATCTAATTTGGAACATTGGAAATGAGAAAAAGCCAATTTTTGGCTAGATAGTTAGTTAGGGAGTATACCAAATTTTTTAATTGTTGTTGTTCATGACCCACCCTCTCTTTCCTTACTGATATAGTGGTTGATTGCAGTGTGAGAGAAAATGGTCAATAGAATTTTAATTTAATGCATTATTTATTTTATCAGGATGTTGTGAACCTGATATCTGCCACCCCCTCCTTCTTTAGAAGCTGGTAAGTGATCTTTTGTATTGGAAAAGGGTTGAACTCTCTGAATTCTTTGGTTAAAGCTTATGAAAGCTTAATGTAGTTTCACTCTCTTGTTTCATTTTTCCTTCGAGAAGTATTTGGAAGTAGAAAGGTCATGAAAAGTTTAAATTTCTTATCTAAAAGATAGCTCATAGTAGAATCCTCATTAAGCAATTAGCTGCCAAGTGGGGAAACACCTTTGGCTGTTGCAGTTTTAGGATAAAATTGAGACTATTCTCCATGCTTTTAATGATTGTCTCATTGACTCCATGCTTTTAATGATTGTCTCATTGACTCCATGCTTTTAAAGACTGTCTCATTGGCTCTAAGATATGGATTTGTTCTATGTTTTACTACCAGCCTCCCTTTTTCTCCACTGAACAAGATCTATTTTGTTTGGCTGAAGAAGTGCTTATTGTATGGTGATGACAGATGCATAATTTGGAGGGATTTATTTTTCACCTCTTGTTGGTTTATTTGACAATACAGAAATAAGGATGTTCATGAAAGAGACTTCAAGAGACCTGAAACCAAAATTATAGTGATTCAAAAGTCCATAAATGAGTTAAAAAAAGCTACCTAAAGGCCAGCCCCTGCCATTTTTGTCGTTAGGTGCGGCCTCCCTCGGATTGGCTAAAATTAATGTGGATGGTGTTGTCTCAAGCAATAAGGTAGTTTGTGGTTGTCTTATAAGAAGCAAGGAATGTGTTTGGATAGTTCTCCGTAAAGTTATAGTTGAGAGTGACTCCTTTCAAGCTATAAACTTGCTTACCTCTTGTGTTAACGAAGCTCGAAGATTGCTCCTAGTAATTGGGATTTGAGCCCTCCTTGATAGAAATTGGGTCACTGATTTTTCCTTTGCTAACAGAGATTTCAACAAATGTGTTGACTGGTTTGCTAAAAATGCTCTCTCCAAGCTTCAAGGCAACTTCTTCTTCTCCTCTCCTTATGTTCATCTCAAGGATCACTGATGCTAGACTCCCAGTATTTAGCATCCCAACCGTTTGAAAAGACTCCTAACTAGTTGTAGTTTCAGCTTAGTTTGCTTTTTTTGGGGCTTTGCCCCCCCCCCTTTTTTGTACTAAAAAAAAGTTTGATCCACTGAATTTCATACATGTACAGCCCAAAACAAAATCGATTGCGATGCATAGACACGAATGTTCAACATAATATGATACGTAAATATAATAATTTTCAAAAAAATTGAAATGAGTACGTCAATATATATTAATATATTAAATATAACACATTTATATATAAAAAAATCAGTTTTTATTTGTATAACTCATAAACTTTTTCATATTTTATAGTATAAAATAGATGCAGCTTAGTGTAACACCCTCCCTTGTATGCATCCAAGAGAGTTGTTTGCTAAGCGGAATTAGAATTTTTGACGTCATTACTTTGATACTGAAAAATCATTTTGATGTTGCTAATTAAAACTTATAATTGAAATCGAGCCACTTACAAAAATCAGAGTGCACTTTCAAAATTTCTTAACTTGTTGAAAATATTATTTTCCTGGCAGACGTTGCTGTCTTGCAAAATTCCTATAAAATCCAGTTTTCAAAATTCCATTGTAACATTTACATAATCTGAAAATAGACACGTGGGGCTTCCCGTGCATATAAAATATAAGCGAATCGGAGGTCTGTAGTCCTACTAAATATAACTCTTAAAGTGCTTGTTAAATCTGTTTAGAAAATCAGCATTCAAAAACCTCAGAAATTATTTTTGCAAAACATTTTAGGAATTTGTTTTCAAAATACTTGCTGATCACAAAAGTCTTACATACAGTAATAAAATCATAATTCAACAGTAATCAAAACTACTCAATTTAATACAGTCATCCATCAAATAAACAGCAACAACAATAGTCCATACAGCAGCACATAACAGCACATATCCATATAATCATGTCTTCCAATGCTCTTCCGTCCTCCTGCCATTTTGTAAAAATAGCAGCCGCAAAGGGGTGAGAAAAATCCCAGTAGTTTGGCAACAAAACCAGTAATGCAACAATATTAAACTAGGCACAAAATTATAAAACAGTCGCATCAACATTAACTTCACTTCTTGATAAACATCATCATATATCATAGTGTGTATATAACGTCATCTTTACGCTCATAGCACCGTCGTGCGCGTACAAACACAGTGGAAATTCGATGCACGACACCCTCATTTGGTGAATTCCACTGTGACCTATGCGGACGGATGTCAAGTGTCCCATACCCTGGTACCGAGGATGCCTATATGATGCGTGCTCAGTCACATGTCCTTATATATATATATATATATATCTAGGATGTCATGAGTTCTAAGTCTACATGCCATGCTATGCAGTCACACCAAGCAGAAAGTGTATCAAGATGTAGAAATGCATGCATATATCATTATCATCATTTCATATCCTTACCGTTGCCACATCATAATCATAAAATAACATGGAACATATGTGAGCAACACTTCACAATTTCATACACTAGTTAATAATCACATTAGGTAATACCACCCAACACATACCTCGCGTGTCCAAATATTAATCAACGGCACCAAAACCAGTCCACTCTTTAATAATTATGCGCACCTAATCAATGGTATAAATAAGTGAGAACTTTATTCATATCACCTTTTATTTATAAGAAATTCGCATGCCTCTCTATTCTTGTATTTCATTCGATTTACCATGTTTCTAGTGCTCACCAATTTCTGCCTTTCCATTAATTAATAATATATTGCCATAATAAAATCCTAAGTCCCCAACAAAATTCTAGCTTCAAATAATTCTTTATCAACTCATAAACAGTGAAACGAATCCGACATTTCCCAAAGGTTTCATACATATATAGGTTCGGCTTTCTTAGCAAAGAGGAGTGTTCAAGGTTTTATTTAAATAATTAGTTCTACTAAGCCTAGTGTGTGTGTGTAAAAGGGCTATTACACATGCTGTCTAGGTAAATTAAACACAAGCCACACACACACACACTAGTTAACTTCTACTATTTTCACAAAACAGGGGGGGTCCTACGAGCTACTCCAAAAAGGACAGAATTTAGGTGCACAAAGTGTTACTCCATTAAGGCTCTACCTAAATTTTATTTGGCTAGAACAAATAAGCCTTCAGCCTACTGTTTTCGTCCCTCAAAGGACATGAGAGACTTAATAAATTTTCTGCCCAAAGGAACCGTCCAACCCAGCAAAACAATGGGCCATGTCCAATATCCTAAGGAGATTAATTTCAGTTTTTCTATGCTAATTTCAAGGCTGTTAACAAACTGTAGTTTCAAGCTTGCATTAGTTACATCCTAGAGCTATTCTAAAGGGAAGAATTCAACAGAAGTAGATGACTAAATTAAAGTATTCTCCAATATGCACAAGAGGGCCGAATAGATAAAAAAAAACAAGGGAAGGTTATTTTCAAGTTTATAAAACCCAGCTTTGGCTTGCATGAATTCATTTTAAGGCTGTTCGAAGGGGGCAGAATAAGGGAGGTGAAATAGCCAAATTAAAACATTATCCTAGCATGCATGAGGAGATCGAAATAGAGAATGAAGGAACCGGTTATGTTGGCACCTTCTTGCGGCCACACCCACAGCCCCTATTCGCACAAGACAGCCCTTCACCCTCCAACAATCCAATGATCAGATTCAGCTGCATATGAGGAAGGAGGAACTAACTCAGTACTGAGACAGACGCCTACAAAAGAAACATGTAATCAGAACCGATTCCAGTAGCTCGGTCACAGAGGAAGGAGAGTACATCACCTCCTTGAATGGGGTTCTCGGTTAAACACAAGGGGAACAACAACTCACGGAGAAAGACTTGAATCTCCATCTGCACGCAGAGAGGGGTTCTTGCATTAACACGCATAGGGCACCAGCGAGCAAGGAAATGGGAAGGTACAAGACCTCCTTTGTTGCTGCAACTTAGGCGGACAGGGAAAAGAAGGAGGAAGGCTTAGGTAGTTTGCTCTCACTCGCGACACTCGCAGCTTGAAGGTACAATGACTGATGAGATATTATACTCCCTGGTGTTCCTCAAGAGACTTGCAAGGTGAGGGAGGAAAGAGGCTGTATTTACGGTTCAGCGTTGAGGGGATGAGGGTTTTAGTCTCATAATGTCACGGTTGGGAGATAGAGTTTCTGGGACAAAACACCAAGTCAGACTTGTTTTTGGTATGTTGAGACGCTAGGAGAGAGAGAGAGAATTAGTGAGCCAATTAAGGTTCTGATTTAGGATTCCAGCATCATCAACCTGTTTATTCCTTCTAGCGCACAAGTTGAAAGAGAGGATAAGGAAGTGTGATTTGTGACCAATACAATTTCATGCAAGCTGATTGCTCATATCTCATTGGTTACATGACTAAAAGGCTCATAAAATTTAGCTAATCGCACAAGTAACCAGCTTGCTTTCCTTAGGCTACAATTGATGGATAGGTTATAAGTTGTGGTCTAGTATGGTCCACCATGGTTTCTTGGGCCGGTCTAATAGAGGGCCTTTGGGCTCAAGTCTACTTTCTAATGGGTCACCTAATTCATGTGATCCTATTTAGCAATTGTATGGTGACTATGAACTTAGTAAGTTATAAATAAAATTAATTCCTATCATAATAATATATGGAATTCGAATCTAAACCATGGGTTTACACTCCAAATGTACCCAAAATTATCAACTAGATTAGTCTTCTAATTATTAACTAAGGGTTTATTCTTTGTAATAAAATTACTCACATACTATAATGAGTACCCGTATAGTTCTAAGTAGTATCATACTTTCTATGTGTTATAATTAATTTATCCCTATACTTATAACTAGCATTTCACATGCCCAAAATAGGTACTCACCTTACATGGTAATACAAATAATTTCCCTAATTTAATTTAACTCCATCCTAAAGCAAACAGTTATATAATCCGAAGGCAAGTACTCTGCCACATTCCTAATTGCAATTTAAATAGCTTCCTAATTAGATGGGATGTTACACTCTCTCCAACTTGTTTTGAAGTTTGTCCCCAAACTTCGTCTTACCACCCCAAAATCTGCTTAAGTCTAACATCTAATACCATTACACCATGCCATAAAGTTCACTGCATTCTTATTGCCAGCTATAAAAGTCATCAACATCTCAGAGCATCAACAACAAATTTGTACTTTACAGGATCATTAAATAATATAGGTATAACACAATTTTGTTCGTACGGAAGGAATAAAAATAAAATAAAATAAAAAAAATCTTCCTAAGCGTAATCGTGGTACAAGCAATTTCCTGAGTTCTTTTTAAATATCAACCAATACCATAACACACAAGTGGAATACAACGGACAAAAATCTTACTAAGCCAAGGAATTCCAGCTATATAAAAAAAAAAACTATAATAAAGCTCAGGGTTTTAGGGCACAATTAATAGACAACTAAACCAAATCCATTTGCAAAACACTTCTTTACATTTCTAAATTTTAATAATTATTACTAGTGTAGGCATAAGTGATTAACCTTCTATTCACTCGATTGAGAATTATAACGTATGAGGCATAACATAACAATACAAAGAGGCTTCTCGATATCCCTATATTATCACTCACCCTTGACGTCACCATACTACTACTCATCCGATCATAAATTTAAAGGTTTTATAAAATTGCAACTAACAGTAGCCCAAACCCAAAAAGTTCCTAAGAATGTAGGGGTGTAATTAACAAGGAAGTGATATTACCTTCATTACCTGTGCACATATAAAAGCTAATTAACTAGGGTCTCCAATTTTAAATATTTCATCTTAGCAATATACATGTTACAACTTAGAAGTGCCATCACTCCTTACTTATATGGTGTGAAATTAAGGAACAGGGATTACCCTTTGAAATAAGTTTGAAACATTTAACAACAGCTTAAGCCGAACTTAAATACATGTGGGAACTTGGAATTTTCGTTGTTAACAAATTAAGGAACAGGGATTACCCTTTGAAATAAGAGCCCCACCTCCTTTTGTGTTGTTTGTTATTTATTTATGGAGGATTGTGGTATTTCTGAGTAAATTGTCAATCTAGGTATTGATTCTCATTTATGCCTTTAATGGTCAAATCTATATTTAAGAAGCAATCCTGCATATCTGGTTTAGGGTGTACATTTCGTGCGTGATAACTTTCTTTTGTAAATTGTATCTTGGCTAAGTGGAAAGGAAATAAATGCTGGTGACTTGAATAATCTTCACATCTATTTTACATAGGTAATTTCCTTGTATCCTGCTGCTATTGATAATCTTAGGGTATTGTGATGCTTTGATTGATTTTAGTAAGATATCAAATAATGTAATGAGTGACAACTAACTCCAATGATGCCAGCTTTTGATACCATTGCATCTGCTATGAGGCGTACACCCATATGGTTTAGAGGAGTTCTGGACTAATGATAATATACTAAGGGTTTTCTAAAGTGTTGTGGTCATTGTGTAACAACAACTGTTACATAATCTGGATATGATCACATCTTATATTGAAGGTTCTAGCAGAAAATTTCTGCAGCACCTTGGGTCTGAATACCTTCTTTAAATGATTGCATAACTGGACCTAGGAGTATCGGAATTTGGTGAAAGCGGTGCCATTAAAAAGCTGACCCATTAAGCTATAATTCTGAAAATTTATAGCCTGTTTGAGAATACCTAGTGGCTGCAGTTCCTTTAGAAAGTCGACTGATTGTCCCTAATGCTGTCATGTAATCATATTTTGAATAGCCAACTTCCCGGACACATATCTCAGCCTAGAGACCTCCGAACAGTGTGATTCCAGTTGCGTTTCAAAGCTAGGTAAGTATATTATATGCCTATAAAATGCCAGCTCAATTGACAAAACACGTAGCAAGTTGTGCAGGTTCAAAGTTGACTGCCCTGTTCTGTATCTAAACTAGAACGGTTGACTTGCCCGTTGCATATCTTTGGCCTCAGGTAACCGAATCAACTGATTTTTGGGGCTACATGTCCAGGAATTAGAGTATTTTAAAACTGGAAATTTTGAGAAATTTTTTGGCACTATAACCAAATAAGTCCAATTGGAACTAATTGTAGGCTCTAAGTGATCAAATTGCTGCCACTTCATTTATGTGACAAGTTTGTGAATGAGTGTTTGCCAATATGTAGTGACTACAAAACCATGATAAAATGTCATGTTAATGATATTATAAAAGTTGAATTCAACATGATGCACACTGATATTGTTTCATTGTTATTTAAACGATATAATCTCCACCAGTTTTATTGATATTTTTGTTTCATTGCTATTTACACCTTTGACTTGAATACACGGCTCTACATTCCCCACTTAAAAACTTGATATTTGTTTTGTGCATGTCATAATATATTGTCTTTGAATAGATGTATTGCTGTTTGTATGGATGAGATTAATTGTTGATTTAAGTGAATTTTAGATTTGGTGTCTTTCTGCATGAGGTTTTGTGCTGTGCTTGTAACTTGTTATTATAGAAAGAAATTCAACTATAGTTAGGAACGTTGAATACGCTTCTTGTGAAATTAAATCCTGAAGGCTTGGTCCGTTGTGGTGGATTATGTTTGGGGCATCTATTTTAAAATTGTAATGTGTGTCAATAAATGGAAAATTCATATCATGGAAATAGATCCTCTGATCAGTGAAGTCAATTACATCTGAGGTACCTAGGACGGCGGAAAGCTCGAAGAAGTTTCCTCATACGGGTGTTTTGACGAACTGTATGAGAGGTACCACTTAACATGATATGTATAGAAACATAGGATGAAAGTTCTGTGATTTTATGAGGATTCCTCTCGTTGAGAATTAGAATGTAAGGTGCTCTGTTTTACTTGCTTGATTCTTTGAAGGCTAAGATACACAGGGTTCTGTCTGTGATATTATTAAGTAGGGTGATTAATGTAGAGGTTTGACTATGATTGCAAATGTGTGATGTGTTTAGTGAGTGAACATAATCGTTATCATTGATAGGGATTAAGTTAGGAAGTAATGACAATTTCAAATTGTAACATGTACATTGCTCAGACGAAATCTTTGTAATTGGAGATCCTAGTTAAGAAGCCCTTGGGATGATAGGACGAAGTTTGGGGACAAACTTCAAAACAAGTTGGGGAGAGTGTAACATCCCGCATAGAAGATGCATTTTGTTAGTATAGGTAGTACCAATTAATTCTTATAAGTTATTCCTAACTGTACCGTCTCATATCAGCACAGTCTCTGGAATCCCTCTCTTTCGGGTGTTGATTCGATTCATTCATGAACCCCCAAGCTGCAAGATTTGGCATGAGCCGCTCATTGTCCGTGCCCTTTCGCACCGGCGATCACTCCCTGCCCTTGCCAGCTCTTGGGATGTTACATGCCCACCAACTTCCACCTGGTTCGTCCTCGAACCACACCGTACTGGAAGAGAGGCCCTGCTCTGAATGATATAAACAACATGATATATAGGCTTTCTTTTGCGCAGTGAGAAACTTATCAGCACTCTGAAATAGTAGACCCATTTATTTCCGATCCCATAATATTTTTTTAAGGGGATAATATTTTTTTTAAACTTACTTATTTATATATCTTACTCTGTAATTTACCTTTTCTTTCTTATTCATTTTTACAAGTTGTTTTTTTCCCTCTCATCTATTTTTATTTTTATTTTATTTTATTTTATTATTTTTATTTTTCATCTTTTTCTTCGATCATTTCCTATTTTTTTATATAGATTTATCATCGTCGATGTTGATTAAAAATTGATATTTATATTAAAAATAAATAAATTTACCCACTTCCCATGTGTTATCCATCTCCCTTATTCGTTTGGTGAAGAAAAAAAAAATCTGTTTTGCACGAAAGCGAGATTACAAAAGTGAGAGTATTCCTTGAGGAAGGTAATTGGTGGATATACAAATGTAGATGCATCGCACGAGTATCAATAACAGATACCCAGCAAAACAGCACCAATTTTGAAAAAATATCTTCAATATTCTTATAATACTGAAGACTCACTATATTGTTATTAAAATTAAAAAGAAAACAATACATTTAACTTTATATATTTCACTCACACTTTTATTATCAATAAAACCTGATTTTTATTTTATTTTCTATTTTTAATAAAAAAAAGTACCTACTAATGATCCAATTTTGGAATGTCACTGCATCAAAAATTACCGAAGACTTGGGCACTAATTGCACAGGAGATATGTACGAGTACCATAATTTACCCTTTTTTTTAGTTCATCTTTCTCATCATCTGCCAAATGTTCTCCTCAGTTGCAATCTCATCGTTCCATAATTAGAGTTTAATTTGGTGCAACATGAGAAAAGTGCACCAATTTTTTATTAACCTACACACAGAAAGGTGAGAATATATAAACACAAATATTTGGAAAGAGACAGAGGGCGAGAGAATTTCACGTTACAAGACGTAAAAATCCCATTTTTGTCTTTTTTTATACAAAAGCATGAAACTAGCTCTCTAGGACATCATCATAAGCAGGCTTCTTCATTACTGAGCATGGCATGCAGCGCCAGGTACTAAAAAACTGTCCCAGATGCACTGGAAGGATGTCTGTGATGTCGGTTTGGTTTACCATATTGAATGCTTTATGCCGAGGCCATTGCACGTCAATATAAGGCCCTTGTAACGGTTAAGATAATCCTGCAGCAAACAATAATGAAAACGTCAAATAAAACAGTAAGAATCATTCTTCTAAATAAAACTTTCTTTTGAAACACACTTCCTGCCAGACGAAGACAAATAATGCTTACAATGATATTGTAATCGTATACGTAATGCATCCCATTTTTGTCATATTCTTTCCTTTTGACTGGATCACTCAAAACTGTTCAATAAAGCCAAAGACATGTTAGGTAATAATACTTGACAGAATTTTGTCCTGCTATTTATAGTCTCATCTATTAAGTTAAGAGAAAATAATAAGGGTAGTCAGGTAATAGAGAAGAATGGATAATCGCAGAATATTCAGATCTCACTACAATAAGAAGTCCAACAGTACACATCAGGGGGACACTAGAATGCAATTGCAATACCGTATTTATCGAACCACTAATCTAATCCCTTTCACTAGCTGCTGTCTCAACCAAAATCTATCTTCTCTAAACCTTAAATGGACCATCTTCATTGTTGGTTACATGCCTATTAAGTTATAAGCATTGGTGGTCGGAAGGGAAATTGCATTGTTAACAAACATGGATGTAGAAGGGTTATGTATAAAGATACCATCTCCTCACAACTTCAAAATAAAAAATAAAATAATAATAATCATAATAATAATAATAATTCCCCCAGCAATGTTATTAATTCTTAATTTCTTATTCCATCTTACATTTATCCCTGATAACAAACATCCATTGAACAAGCCACAAAATATCACGCTTATCATATAAAAATTACCTAAATCAAATCTGGAAATGGTATTTCACCAAAAAATAAAATAAAAATCTGAACATGGTAACAATCTAGTGGTAGTGTGTAATGCAAAACCACATACATAAGCTTCAAACTTCAAAGCAGTGTTCTTTCCATTTAGAAGGGGGATTTCCACAATAAGCCAGTAGAAATATAAGTAAATTTGGGGAGATACAGTAGAGTAGCTTGGGGACATTTCCTCTCTCTTTTTTCTTCTTTTTTTCTTTTGTCTTTAATCTTTTGCAAGGAGACTAGGGAGGATATATTCTGTTAACCTTATAACATGCTCATAAAACAAACTTAGTACAATTACAATGAGCCATCAAAGTTGTAAGCAATTATGTTTACAAATCTCCTAGAAATCTAGAAATCATATAAGAGCCTATTAATCATGTTGTAATGAGGATGATCATTAACCAAAGCATGCAAAATGGAAGGGGAAAAATAAACAGGCTGCAACAAGCTAAACAAGTCGAGCTCAAGCTTCATATTGTTAAACAAGTCAAGCCCAAGATTTTAATTTGACTAGTTTAAATAAATGAGTCGAGCTTGAGTAGCATCTTTCTTTTGCAATTCAAGCTTGAGCTTCACGTGCTAGACTTAATTCATTTACATACAATCCTAGCTACATGGATCAAATAATACCATTGTGTTATGACAAAACCAAGTTTTCAGAAAGGCCATTTAAATTAAGGTCTTATTACCAAGGCCTCTGTTGGTCTTCTACTTACAAAGCCAAACCATTTCAAGCGAGATTTTATCATGCTACTTCAACTTTCTCTCAAATACACTCTTTTCCTAATTTGATCTTTTCTTGTATGACTAACCATCCACCACAATATTTTCATCTCCGTAACACTTATCTTTTGCTCTTGTTGGCACTTTACCACCAAACATTTGGCATCATAAGCATCGCTGGTCTTATGGCTCAAATTTTGACACATGCTACGCTTGTTCAAGTTTTGTTTATGATTTTTATTTGTGGAATCTTTGAAAAAGTTGACATGGAGATGTTTACAATCTGGGCTTAAGGCAAAAATTGATTCCCATATTTTATTTGAGCACCTTGATTATGCAGCACTTCCCGCGCAATACAATAAAGGTGTATTGAGATTAGTCTTATAAACTTAGACAAGTTTTTTTAATACAAGCAAATAGTTTCCGAGACATAAGTATGAGACAAGAAAACTAAGAGCACGTGGAAAGAATGCCTAATTATATAAAGCAATCCTTGACCCGCAATGACAATACACACGAATTTTGCTGCTTTATCTACAAACCAGAAACTATTTCCAGTTGTTTTAAACTAACCTCAGCCCATATAGAAAATAAATAAATTACTCCTTTATATATATAATTCGGATCATCCTAAGTACATACAAAAGCTCACTTCAAGTGAAAAGTAGTTGTTACATGTTGAGTTGTTGACTGCTAATAATTCCAAAATTTTCCTACCTATATGCTGATTCTCCTCAAAATTTCCTATCTCTCTGCAAAGGAACAGCAACATATGTTACTATATTAGTTACCTAAAATTTTCCACCCTAACATCCGTATGTGACTATATTGGGTTGACTAAACTCATACATACTTTTGTTATATAACCATCAATATTCGAGATTCTAATACCCTAATGCTCTCACTCGTGGCAACGAATTGCAGAATTTAGAATCATAGTAAACACATTGAATTGGACTGACACAATTCCACGAGGGGCATAAATTGCATAGGAGCAACTAAATACGAAACCCTAAAAGGACATACCCTGATAAGCCTCGTTTATATCTTGAAAGCGTGAAGTTGCTGCATCTTGGTCTTTCTGCTTGTCAGGGTGCCATTTCTGCGTGCACAGAAGAAGCACAACAACACAGCGGAACATGAGATTAGACACAAACAACTCCTCCAACGAACGGAACGGAACGGAAAGCAAAGAAAGAATAAAGTAGAGAAAGAAGAACAGACCAGAGCTAAACGAATGTAATTGGAGCGAATAGTATCATCGGTGGCATCATAATCCACTTCCAATATCTTATAGTAATCCTGTTTGCCCAAAAATGATTTATTACACAAAACAACAACAACCCCTAATTTGAGAAATAATGACAATAATGATAAGAATAAGTAGAAGAGGGTAAGAAGGAGAGAGTTATTGAATTGTTGTACCTTGGGTGTGGAGAGAGAAGAGAAGAAATCGAAATTGAGATAGGAATCAGGGTTGGGTTGGTCGGGTTTGGGGATGTTATGATCTTCAAAGTCATCTTCCCATTCCCACATCATGATGTTTCAGTGTTGGTTGGTTGGTGTGTGAAGGAACCTAACCTAACCTAATCCCGGTGGGGGTTTGAATTAGAGGGATAAAGTAAAGTGCTGCAGGTTGAGACTTGAGAGTGGTCCAATCCAACTCCTTTCTATTCTATGCTATGCCTCCCTCTCCCTCTCCATCTGTCTCGGCGTGCCGCGTACGTCTATTATGTGCCGCTATTCCTCTACCTTCCCAAACTACATCACGTTTCCCCCGAAAATTCTAGATATTAAACGGCATGATTGCAACACCAACAAAAATCATAAGGTTTAATCTATAGATGTGACTTACGATATATAAATATCGGAATATGTTACTATTAAATATTATTATTATTAATATTATTTAGTCGTTAATTTTTATTTTTATTAATTAATTATTAATTCATAATAAATAATAATCATTGATTGATTGGCGAAAATTACTATAATAATATTATTTGATAGTAATAATATTCTATCTCATAAATATATATTTTATAAAAATTATTTTCAAGAAAATAATATTTATTTCAATTACTTAAATATTGACAAAATTCTTTGACATATTAGAACGGCTATAAAAAAAAAAAAAAGATACATTAGAACAAGAACTCGTATTAGTTTGTCTACATTTGAGATGGATTAAATGATAGTAAGAGAATCACCTCTATTACAAGTCTAATAATACTCGAACCGAATTAGATTAGAAAAAAAAAAAAAAAATTACTACCATTTCAATCCCGATTGAACAATCTTTCATGGAAAGGTAATATGAATGGAAATATTTCAACATTCTTTTCTCTTTTAACTATTTTGAGTTAGGGATAAATAAGAATATGTTGCAGGTAAAAAATTGGTGTCATCCAATTACTACAAACAAAATAAAGTCAACAAACATAGTGCCTCTTAAGCTTTTTTATTTTATTTTTTAACTTGTCATTTCTTTTGTAGGAAAAAGAAATTAATCTTGTTATATGACGAAATCAAAGCCTTTTGAGTTAATTTATAAAGATTTACACTAATATAATAAGGGAAAGACTACTCTAATTTTACATGAGATAGTTATCTCATTTTCTCTCACTTCAAAAATCGTATTTTTTTTTCTTTTTCTTAATTGCTTTTTAATGATGGATCCCACTTGGACTCTCTCTATAGCATGAGAGAATTACTCTCATGTAACATGAGAGTAATATTTCTCATATACTAATTCCGAAACAGTTAGTGTTGTGTAAAATAATTAAATCGAACCTAATTATATTTTTCTAAATCAGTTTTGAAAATCAAATTAATTTTATAAAGCAATTCAAAAATATAACCGAACCAAAAGAATCCATTTAAAATTGGTTTGAAATCCATTTAGAACTAATTTATATATCCAAAATGGTTTACAACCGGTTACAAATCATAAACTCGTTTTAAAATTTCCTAATCAGTTTGAATTAAATAAAACATTTCGATTTGGTTTAAGAAAAAAAGGTTTCGTTCCAACTATGACCAACCGTAGAAACAGCTACCTTCATTGAGGCGAATTCAATTTCTTTGTGACAGGACCACCTGGTCGAGAGCATTTTGGGTACAAAGGTGGTATTAAGAATTTGGAGTGATTGTATATCTTACACTAAGTCTGACCAGTAAGACTTAGTGTAAAGTATAAAAATAGCTTCTTTATTTTCTTTCTTAAAAAACAAATTGCTGACATGACTGGCTTGTCGTAAGTACAACAATGATATTATAAAAATTTTCAACCTGATAATGATTGGGAACTTGAACCAGGTGTCACGTGTGGCGACTACCTGTTTGCAAGTATGCTACTGGCTCGACCTATTAATTATCAAACATATTTTCTCATTGCAAATGGTGAATCTATTAGGTGGTGTTTGGTTAGGAGCTTTTCAGCGGATATCTATGTTTCTCAAGTATGGCTTTTAAAAACACCATGTTTGTTTGAACGTATTTTCACCAAAAACTCATCTATCCAATTTGTCTGGATTTATGAGAAACATAGATATCCGCACTGTTTAGAAACCCAATTTGAAGGTGGGATTTTTCGGAAAACTGGTTATCTGGCTTTTAATGCACTGTTGATTTCATAAAGTTACCTAATTTTCCCAGTAAAGTTTTTCCTCACCAAACAACTTTTTTTTACATTTGTCTACATATCTCACTTTATCTATCTTTCCAATCATTTGTCTATCTGTTACATTTCCCTACTATTCCAAAAAAAATTCCTCAACCAAACGCCCCCTTAAGGGATGGTCGTGGTTATTTGTTATATTAGCATATTGTTAAACAAGGTCAGCTCTTTATGCTAATAACCATGAATCCATCCCAGTAACAGTGTAAGTGACACCCAGATTAGTTGTAATCTTAAATGAACAGAAAGAAATCAGTTCAAATCTGAAAAGACTAAAGAGGAATAAGATGTATCAAGCCCAATATTTGGAGATTGTTTGAATACAATTGGACGGCATAATATAGAAGACAAAGTATAGAATTAGACGCCCTCACTAGTATAACTTGTCAGAGAATCTTATCTTCAGACAGCTTTGACAGAATAATAATAAAGAGATGTGTTACGAGAATCCGATCTTCAAAAATAAATGTCGGCAACATAATAGAGATTTTATCCTCAATAGTAATTGTCGACAGGTTTATTTGTAAATATTAGTGTCAGTAAGGGTAGTTTTTAAAGTTGGTGTCAGGCTTTTATTTGTCATTTTGTAAAAAGAATCTTTCTTTTAAAACTGATGCGACGATGGGTCTTGAAAGCGCACACTGCTCAAAAAAAAAAAGATTCTTTTATATGTTTCAAGTCTATGTTTCGTGTACAAAAGTTTTAGTTTGGACCTATAAATAGATGTTGTAATCATTTGTAGAAATCATTGAGTGATATGTGTAAGTGTTTTCCTGAGTCTAAATATATGTAATTAGTATGTATTATTCTCTTGTGAATCAATATATTTCTTAACATTACAAACGTATTCTTCAATTCCTCCTTCTTCATTTTTTCTTAAAGAGTTGTTCGAGAATTTCCGAAAGGGAAATCTTTCTCCGTGTCCAAGGTACCATGTTTTATTGAATTTTTTATTATAATGTATATTCTTTCCCTTGTTAGTTTCTCTTCTTGGTATATATTTTTCCTTTTTATGAGTAAGATAGTTTTGCCCCATCTTGTATGAATCTATTAGAAAGAATATATCTTTTGTATATCTATAAATATTTATTTCCTTATTTCATTAAGAATTGTGTTAGGTTTAGGCTAAGCCCATTAGTGTGTCTATATAATGTACACCTTGTATCAATTCAATACACACAGATTTATTTCAATGTTCCTCTCTTCTCTTGTTAATTAACATGGTATTAGAGCCTAAGGAACCTTGATCTTTTTTTTTCGGTGAACCCATTGTTCATCGTCTTTGTTAATTGATGACAATGTTCCATACACATTATGAGGTGATGCTATACTCACTGCATGCTATCTCATTAATCGCATGCCATCATCTGTTCTTAATCATCAGGTACCTCACTCTATTTTATTTCCCCATCAAGTTTTATATCTTTTGACCCCACATGTGTTTTGTTCATCATCTTGGTATAAATTTGGATAAATTAGCTCCCAAGTCTCATAAATATGTTTTTCTGGGTTATCCTCGGTCTCAAAAGGGTTACCGTTGCTACTCTCCAACTTTACGTCGATATTTTATCTCGACAGATGTTTCCTTTTTTGAATCAGTTCCTCTTTTTTGGCTCTTCGACTACTCCTGTGGGCACTGATTCTGTTCAGTCATCTCTCCAGTTGACTCCTTTGAATACCTTCCGCCTTTACCAGTCCATGTTTCTGACTCTCCTCTTATTACCTCTTCTCCTGATGAGATCCAACATAGTTCGTCATATGTTTCTGTGGGCTCATATCCGACTGCATCTCCTCCCTCAGCTTCGGTCCCACTTTCGGATAGTGACCTTCCCATTGCTCTTCGTAAGGGTACTCGTGATACTCGTCCTCCTGCCAGGTATACAGTTAATATTAGTTACCATCGTCTTTCTCCATCATATTATGCATGTCTTTCCTCTTTGTCCTCTTTGTCTATTCCTAAGACTACAGGTGATGCACTTTCACATTCGGGATGGAGACAAGCAATGATTGATGAAATGAGTGTCCTTTATCACAATGGGACATGGGATCTGGTTCCTCTTCCATTTGGAAAATAAGTGGTTGGTTACAGATGGATTTATGCTGTTAAGGTTGGTCCTGATGGTCAAGTGGATCGTCTTAAAGTTCGCTTAGTGGCGAAGGGTTTCACTCAAGTGTTTTGATTGGATTTTGTTGATACTTTTTCTCCTGTGACAAAAATGTCTATTGTTAGCCTCTTTATTGCCATGGCTGCTATTCGCCATTGGCCTCTCTACCAACTTGATATTAAGAATGCTTTTCTTCATGGTGAGCTTGAGGAGAAAATTTATATGGAGCAACCTCCTGGATTTGTTACTCAGGGGGAGTCAGGTCTTGTTTGTCGTCTTTGCAAGTCTCTATATGGTCTCAAGCAATCTCCAAGAGCTTGGTTTGGTAAATTTAGCAGTGTTGTTCAACAATTTGGCTTGACTCGGAGTGAAGCTGATCATTCTCTCTTTTATCGTCATTCAGCTTCTGGATCTATTTACCTGGTGGTATATGTGGATGATATTGTCATCGCAGGTAGTGATAGTCATGGGATCATTCAGTTGAAACAGTATTTATGTCACCATTTTCAGACTAAGGATCTTGGGAAACTTTGATATTTCTTGGGAATCGAGGTGGCCCAATCTAAAGATGGAGTTGTGATATCTCAGAGAAAATATGCTCTGGATATTCTTGAAGAAACTGCTTTGTTAAATTCTAAGTCTGTTGATATTCCTATGGATCAAAGTATCAAGATTCTACCAAATCAGGGGGAGCCCTTTTCAGATCCTGAGCAGTATAGAAGATTGGTTGTGATAACCAAACAGCTTTGCACATTTCGTCAAATCCAGTATTTCATGAAAGAACCAAGCATATAGAAATAGATTGTCACTTTGTTCGAGAAAAAAGTTTTTGCTGGTGAAATTACAACTAGTTTTGTACCATCTAATGATCAATTAGCAGATATATTTACAAAATCTTTGAGGGGTCCTCGAATAGAGTTTATATGTAATAAGTTTGGTGTATATGATCTATACGCTCCAGCTTGAAGGGGAGTGTTAGAAAGAATATAT